TAATTTTAGCTCTGTTTGAATATGTACTGATTGTAAAGCAGGGCAGTACCAGAAAAGAGCCAGACTGTTCAGTAGACTTGCTCCAAATACATAACTAATTAACTTATCAGAGGAGACATACAAAAGAACGAAGAGTAACAACTGAAGGCCTTCAGTGACCAGATAATGTGTGCTAAAGTTTAGATGACGTTCACAGACAGAACGTAAGCAGCTGAGCCTACAACCGGCCATCTGTTGACTTTCTGACGTCAAGCAGCTAGTGGCAAAGAGTTGCTGTCAATCAATTCAGGAGCTAGTTCAAGAGTTTATACATACATTAGAAAATTATGGTGCCACAGCAACGGTGCGCTTGCAAAAATATTGCCGGGGGGAAACAGGTTTTGGTGTAACACGCCCACAAAAATATTGCCTACAGGACGCGAACCATGACAGAAAAATGGCTACATCCCCGCAAGATCAAACACCGCAAAAGTTAGTAAACGACGTGTTGAAAACGGTTGAAAACTGCTACACAACCGGAGGTGGTAGGGCGGGACTTCAGCGGGTGGCTCGTTCCGCCCAATGAGAGGCTGATCTCTGCAGCAAACTTCCGCCCACTCAGACTAGTGTTAACCTAATGTGGTATTTTTATGAGATGGGATGCACAGATTTTTGAGTAAAGTAATACTACAGAGCTTTTACCAGATCAAGTTTCTCAACATTGACAGCTGAAAATGACAGCAAATCCTTGCCATTATTCACTCCAATGTCATACACTAGACATGTGATTTTCCAAACCTAAAGATATTGTTTGATTTGTCTATATTAGATGAAGTTATTAGGGTTATTTGCTCGTTTTCTTCTACATCACCCAGCTAGATACAGCCATCAAAGTGAGCTTGAATAGACCTCAATTAGAGCTCAATTAGGTTCAGATATTAGGAGGTTAAACACCTGGTGGACCGTTATTATTATGTTACCTGTAATAATCTTCGCAGTACACTGCTGTTATTAGACATATGACACATACAATCAGACTGACTGGATAACTTTCCCCTTGAGTAAACCCAAAAAATAATGGTCAAGACTGTATTTGCTGTAATGTTTGCTATAATCTAACAATTAGCTTTTCTGTCTTTTACACGCTGGTCGCCTGTGCGCCTGTTGGGAGCTCTAACCTTGTGGTTAACCTTGCTATTAAACACCGAACTCCATTTATAAAGCTAATCTAGCTATGGTCATTTAAGGGCTTATGATATCGGTAACCAGTACTTGTAAATAGAAACAGTGAACTTAAACTTAAACCAGTGCCAAACTTGCTGTTGCCCACTGGATGCGTTCAGTGCAGTCAGGACACGATGACCTGGCCACCGAGCCGGTGACCGTTTCACAGCTTATTTATCCTCAGCAACCGCTCTTACAGCTTCAATTATGTCAGGCTGACATAACAATATATTAATTGAATACAAGAAAGCAAGTGGCATCCTTCACTGGTGTGTATATATGGTAAAAAATAGCCATTTTTCGTTTCTTACCTGGAGCCGGGCGACAGTGAGACAGTAGGTTGCCATTTTGTTCACTGACAAAGATGTGTCCGTCTGTGTTGACGTCACACTTTTGTAGGCCGCGGTATGGCAGGTCTTGTAAGGACAAAATATTTAAAGTTTGATTTTTATTCAGATTGTTTATAGAATGTAGTTTGGATTTATATTTACCAGTATCGGTCTCATGTATTATTTTTCATATTTGGTCAAATATAATTGAAATTTTTCTCAAGCAAGAAATAATTTTGACACATAACGTTTTTTATAAAGCTTAAAGGATAACAATTTTTATTTTATTTTTACTTTTTATACAAAATGATATAATTTCCGCACCGCCACAACTGAAAAATACGCTATCATAATGTATTTTTGGGTGTTTAAAAAAAAAAAAAGAAGTAAGGTAAGGTACCACCGAAACTCGTCTTCTGTTTTATTTCTCTGTGGAAACGCTAGGTGGCGGTAATGCGATTCATCATACAAAGTTAACCGGTCAAAGGTTAAAGTTGAACCGGAACAGCAGCGCTCGCCATACGTGAGCCAACAATGGCTAAACATCATCCAGATTTGATTTTTTGCAGAAAACAAGCCGGTGTCGGTAAGTTAAAACATATTTTATTTCACACGTCATCTGACACTGTTAATTTACCGCTTCAGGGTGTCCTTTATTGTGGTTTAACTCGATATAACGTTAGCTACCATGCTAACCGTTACAGCATGGATTTCATTGAAAGCTTGTTAGCCATGGTGTTAGCATAGAAAAGTCTATGTCACTAGAATAACTAATGTGAAAGTTTCACGTAATATATTACTTTAGTGTATTTAGTAATGGGTTTTGCTGTAAATGTGGGGAAGGAATTGGCTATTTAATTTAGCAAAGCGATTTGCCTGACTGGCTCTGACTGTTTTGTTTGTATTCCTCAGCTATCGGGAGACTTTGCGAGAAATGTAAGTGTTTCCTTCTATTAATTGAATCGTATAACTGTAATATGTTTTCCTCTAAACTTAAAGTAATTGTTCAAGTCTTAGTTCATTTTTTTCCTCTCTTTTGCACCAGTAACAGTAACGTTAGGTCTGCATTTAATCAAACAACATGGGGACAATTTAGTTGGGAAACAAATGATGGTTTCCTGGCTGAAGTTGTGGATAGTTTGAATGAGGATTTGTCCTTATAACTAATTTTTTTTAAAGTAATTTATCAATAATTATGCAATAGGACATTATGGTAGGGTTGATATATATCTCAGAACGACAGTTATTTCCCCAAGACTATAATGATAACATTATTTCGAAGTCTATTTAGTTGCTATAGTTATGACAGATGCTGTGTTATATAATGCATTACTACTACATTCTCTTATTTATTCATATTTTCACATTGGATCCACAATTTTTTTTGCCTTCCCCCATCAATTCCCTTATCCATCCTGTCCCCGCTCCTCTCAGGTGATGGAAAATGTGTCATCTGTGATTCCTATGTGAGGCCGTGCACACTGGTGCGCATCTGTGATGAGTGTAACTACGGCTCCTATCAGGGACGCTGTGTGATCTGCGGAGGGCCCGGAGTATCTGATGCCTACTACTGTAAAGAGTGCACCATCCAGGAGAAAGATGTAAGTGTCCTTAAGCACAGTTAACCAGGCCGAATCTGTGAGATATTTGTTATGTTGCATTACTAGCTATGATTTAGTGAGCTTGGAGGAAATAAACAGCACTTAGAGTTTAAACTGAACCCTGCTGTGAATACTCAAATTGTCTGGCTGATTTGAAAAGTTTTTTTTAAACAGGCTTTTTTTCTCCTCTCTGTTTCCATTACAGCGAGATGGGTGTCCAAAGATTGTGAACTTGGGCAGCTCCAAAACAGATCTGTTTTATGAACGAAAGAAGTATGGCTTCAAGAAGAGGTGAAGACACCACGGCCCAGCTCTTGTTTTAGTTTTTCAGCTTTTGCAGATTTTCTTACACACCTCAAGAAACATTTTTTTTGACTTGTCAATAAAACTCTGTTTTATACTTTTGTCTTTATTTCCCTCTGTTCAAGAATGTTTATGGGACAGGTTTATAACATCAAAAATGCTATAAGCCTTTAAAACTGTGCTCACTACTGACAAATATTCTTTATTGACCAGCAACATACAAGAAAAAACATTTTTTGTCATCTTACTACACAGATAACTGAAATTAATTTATTTATGAATAATTATTGTTTCATATTTTTAAAACCATGCTAAGAAACATCAATGAACAGTCCATGAGTGAAATGTGAGCAATGCACAGCCTTGCAGATTAAACTGACAAAAATGTTTAATAACCAAAAAAAATTGTGGTACAGCCATGAAATAAAGAGAGGGGGAAAAAATATGCTTTCCATCGTGAACAAGAGTGGAGACGTATTGTGTTTTTAGGATGCTTAAACAAATACGAAAAGCTGACAGTATACCAGGCTGTCTGCAAAATAGTCTTAAACCTGAATTTGTGAGGTCTTTACTGCTACAAACATTTTATTTTACTTTATTTATACATTGTTTAATTTCTTTTTGTGATGAAAATTAGTTAAGCTTTAAATGTCCACATTTCAAATGTTACAAATCCTTAGGAAAAAAAACTATAATAGTGTCATTTTACTTCATACTTGCATCTATCTTTTGGCAAAATATAGATTAACGTAACTCACTGTAATAACCATATTCCTACATAAGACCTACCTCTGCACAAGACCACATATACACTACTTACCTGCAATGCCTAAATAAGTAAAGCATGATTTGGCCAACAATGTCCGAAATTTGATTTTTTTTTTTTAAAAAAGTGACTTAAAAGGGTTTTAAAAGCATTTAATTTAACTGTTTGATACCTATAGTCACTCTGTATACACTTGTTCAGAGATGGCTGAATGGGCTCGTTATAGTTCAAGATAATGTGCATAGTCCAGCTTGGTTTTTCACATCTTACTACACTTCCTCCACCAGATGACGCTGTTTCACACCGATTTCACACAGGCCTGCTATCTGAACTCCAGACTGAACCTTTATTAATGTTCCACTCTACACAGCATCACTTTCTTGCACTGCTTTTCAGATTGGGGGAAAATGAGTCCAACAAATTCCATGTCCACAAATGATGTGGCTTTGGGCATCTTGATACTTAAGCTCATCTAAGCTGTTTTAATTTAGTAAAGGTTTAGGAAATGATGAATGCAGTAAACATGACACAACCGTAGTTCTACCAGAATATAACTGGAGTATGTATTATATGAAATTTTATGGCATACATAATCAGAAGGTTGTTTATTATTCATATTTCTATAGTATTCAACAGACTCCAGTCCAGACTCAAGCTAAGAACATTAACTATTCTCTCATCTTATATTGGTCTTTACTCTGGTCCTGAGCCTTAATTTAGTTAGACTGGTCTTCTAAACAAACTGCTCATTGCTAGATTGTTAATAAGTATCTTCATACATAGAACTCAACACTCAGGGACTTTCTCAACAAGGCTTTATTTATACAGACTTTATATACAAGACACAAAAGGTAGCCACAGTCATAATGCCAAGACTTTTCTTTACAAAGAAATAAAAACAGAACCAGGAAGGTTAAAAACAAACCCTCAAAGTTAAATTGACCTGTTCCAGATAAAAGGCGGATTTATATAGATTTATATATAGTTAGAGTATTAAAAAAATACTGAGTCAGGAAGTTCGTCACTAATAATGTCAGAGTTGTACTAAAAAAATGAAACGTAAAAATTACACCCTTCTGTTGATAATGTCACTTGTGTTACCTGAAAGTAATGATGCAGGGAGTAAAAGTATTTGGGCAAATGTTACCGTCCTGATTTTTAGTTTTAAGAAAGATTGCGCTTGTCTCGGTTTAACAAAAGAGCACGTGCAAACAAATAAAAATGCATTTTCTGCAGGCTGTGATATTAAAAAAGAACCTATATTAGTTTAATTCCTCACACATGGAAACCCCTTCCCACAAAAACAGACCAAAATATTCAATCTATTTAGGTAAAAAGTCACTATCTCTATTGGAAGCACAGCAACAAAAGAGCAAAACAACAACTTTCCCTTTTTGTCCAAAGTGGACAGTGAAATAATCCTGGGTTTAGGTGTTGTCTTACACAATATGCCCCCCTGTAAACTGGCAGATTGTGCATTGAAATGGCTTGAGGAGTTTTTGGGGTTCAATTATTAATGAGAGACGCCCCAATACAGTCTGCACCTACTGAGGCTTCCTGGTTTGTCAAATTATTATATCGTTTTAAAAATCAGCTGGTAACAGACGCTGACGGCTTACATGTTTCAGAGCGAACAGAGAAGTTCAGACACAAATAAGAAACATGGTTGATAAATGTCAGCACACCCTAAAAACTGAAGTGATAGAATATAAATGCACATTCACCCCTCACAATAGGTTTCTAATTACAGTAAATAACTGGAAAATGTGAGCTCAATAACCCTCTTCTCACTTTCACTGAGCTCGAAGGACTTGTATTCGCCACTGCAAATGTACTTTTTTTTTTATAGTTTGCACCAGCACTTCGCTGCTGATTTGTAGTTTTTATCCACATTTTCATACAGTGTCAATTGCAACAATTTCGTTTGTATGTGCACTGCTGACAGTGTGGATTTGAATGATAATTACGTTTATCTATCAATCTGTCGCACTAAGGCACTAATTTAAATCCTGCATCTGAGAGCCACTCATAATTTGGGAATTTACAATAAATTTACTTTCACTGCTTCATATTTATCCAAATCCAAGTTTCTTTAAAAACCTGACTTGTATCTGAGTTTTAATGTCCAGTGATACTGAATACATTGTAACATGATGGAGGGGAGAGTCTACAAAGCATTATCATAGGCTAAAACTATTTACAGTCCATGCATCAGTGGATTCTACACACAATACTTGTGAAGGTTACTGACGTAAATGGACAAGTCGACTTTAAAAACCTGCAGAGAGCAAACCAGGCATCCTGCTCAGAGACTAAAAACGGCACAAGAGCGACTATGAGTGGTAATGTGTGGCTCTGCCCCACTGGTCATGAGTATGTATACATGAAGAGAAGTGAACATGGCTGCACTTCTTTTTTTTTGCCACATCACTGTAATCCCCTGAACAAGCTTAAAATTATTGGAAATGTCACAGTTATTAGTTTTCGTGGGCAAAGAAAAGCCCAGTTCATCACAAAAACCATCAGGTGGGTTTCGGAATTCATTCAAATGTGGAAAGAACTGGAAGCAACCTGCAAGTTTATTTCTACAAAACCGTAATAACGACTAATACTCTGTTTAAACTATTGCAACTGCTATCGTCTATCGTTGAAAAATAAAATAGAACAAAACCAACAGTGTCTCCATAATAAACATCACAAATGATCTCTTTCGGCCAAACGCATACATACACGACATGATATAAGTACACTTCATCAAAGAGGTGCACTGAAGAAGCACTTGAATATCCTCACACTCCTCTCACTCACATGGATGGTAAATCGAATTATTATTAAAAAAAAAAAACCCTCAAGAATAAGATGTCAGGTCTTTACGTACTATTGCATCTCCATGCCAACAGCAGTCACACCCTCCTCCTCTTCATCTGATCGATTATAGTGCACATCCCAACCCCATCGGTTTGATTTATTTCTTCATCAGAAATATAAATGAATAAATCAATTGTTGTCTATTGGTCTTCCGGCACCGCACTTGAAAGAGAAGAGAACAAGGATGAATGACAGGGGGAAGAGGAGGGAGAGAGGTCAACATTAAACAGCAGACACATAATTTGATGATATATAACGCCCGTTCAGGCTGCTGACTCTCTTCCATCTGTCATACTACCTATAACACAACAGTCAAACTCCATCTTCTCAGCGGTGCAGTGGATTTGATATAGTTGGCACGACTAACAATCAGGATTGCTTTATGAGAAGAGCACCCAAATAATGCTTCTAACCTGACGTGATAATTAAGTGACCGATACTGTGCTGTCTGCGTTATGGGTGTGCAGTTTCAGTTTGATTTATTTGCTTTATGTGGTCCCTTACAGTGGTCCAAATTTGGCTTCATAGTGACTCGCTGTGTTCTTGTAACGCCCGCACTCCTTCCGTAGCTCTGCGACTTCTGACCGCAGCGCTGCGTTCTCGCGTTCCAGGAAAGCCGCTCGGACGGTGATCTGGTTCTCCTTTAACCTGCGGGCGTCACGTGAGCGTTTGGCAGCCATGTTGTTCTTCTTCCTTCTCTGCCAGTATTTGTCATCCTGCAGAGGTGGAGAAAAAAAGAAGGGGAAGGGTTGGACTGTGTCAATGAAACACAACACCAGAGCCTACCTGGCTTCCTGAGCTCGGTTACTAAGGTAACCTGGTTTAACTGCCTAATGTATCTTATTGTGGACACATTAGCCTAAATCTGACCCCTGCCAAGTGAGTAATATGGCCCACAGCCAGGCTCCTTTGTGAGTGTAAACAAAACCTGTGTTCTGAGGCAGACTGGGGTGAAAGGAAAACATCAATCTGAAGATTGTCAGACTGCTGAGTCACTGTGAGTCGCCAGAGCTACTTCACTGTGACATGGCCTTATTTCTGCTGTCTACTTCCGTTGAACCTTGTGCATCCTGAAACCGGCTGATGAAATTGCAAGCAATAATACTGTTAAAATTTCATCAGCCAACCTCTCATATGCCCCTGACTTCTGGCCTCACAATGTTTATGTAATGTGAAATTGGCTGATGCAAGCCAATTAAATTGTTACCCTTCATTTTTTTTATCAGAAGACAGTACATATAT